TGTGAAAATGTCAACTTTTCCCATTTGGAAGTTTTAAATGGCTCAATGTTTTCTGACAAATACTCAGTTGATCCAAGAAGGGTTTTGTACCAACCCAGATCTAACAGACTATTTGCTGTAAGGCTGAAAAACTGATGTCAAAACTTTCTTTTTTTATTATCAAAACGTGTAGGGAACATGCAACGTCTTGTGAAAAGGTGTGGATAAACTGAATGTAGCTTAAAAAAAACCAACTAATTTCTAACTTGGACTTGAAGATCATTTCTGCAAAGATTTAAATTGCATTCATAAAATTTCTGTTATATTTTTTACTTACAACAGAGTATGTCCAATCCTAAACAGATCTGTGTTTTTATGGAAACAGTTTCAAAGTATTTGTTTTGATGAATATCGTTTTGTAAGTCCTCGGAGAATCGTAGGAATGGTGTTTTGCTCTCTTCTTTTGCAACTGAAATTTCAGCCAGCTGAGCTTAGAATAGGACAAATGGCGACTATCTAATTGGGCCCACATGTTGCTGTTTTTTGTTTTTCTTTTTGTATCATGAGGCACACTTAAGCATGGGTACTAACAAAACGACACACATTGAGGAATGTTTGCAGGACGTTTGAATGCCAGGGATTCCCTTCATGCTGGCCGTCTGCCAAGGCTGCAGCTGGACTTGGAATTCTTGCTGCAAACCATTGAGCGCAGCGTGATGGTTTCCTCTTAGTAATTTACAAATATAAAAAGTTGTTCTTGTGTCTAATTACGTAGCTTGGGAAGTTTAAGATTTACTTTAGACATTTTTTTTCTAAAATAGCACAGATGAAAGCCCGTTTCTTGAGGTGGGCATCGGTTGTTAAGTGGGTTATCTGCACGAGAAAATCGGGGATGAACACTGAGGTTGTGAACATGTCGAGGCGATTCACCCCGTTGGACACATCGGGTTCATTCACAGTCCAGTTCATATTCAAATCTTCCCACCTTACAGTGCAAGTGTTCCATATCCTGCGCAAGAATGCACATATTATGCCCTAAATGAGAACATTTGTCCTTTTTGTCTAATCTGTAGCCATGACTGAATATTTGATTGACATTAACTTGTATGTCCTTTTCTGTGTGAACTGTGAACACAGTATTTGTTTGTTTTCCTTGTTACTGTGAAGTCATCCTATGGCACAGTAACTTGATTAAATCTAGCTGGTGTTGTGACTCAGTCTAAGAGAAAAAGCTTAAAGCCAGACAATGTGGTTAAATTAATTGAACTTTCATCTCCCTGTTTCCACAGTCCATCTGTGCTTGAGCCACATTGTTTCCTCTTGCTTCTTTGCTTGAGTGCAATTCTGAGTGTCCCTCCCCCTAAACCGTCTGTTATTTCCCCGCTTTATCTTCTTTGACTGTGAAGGAAAATAGTGCATCTTTCCTTTCTTAATCCCCCCTTCTCATAACACAGTCCCAGTTAATCAGTCAACCAGCTATCACTGGAATTCAACCAGTAAACACCCTCATGGAGGACGCGTATCCCTCTTTTCCTTATCTCGTCATCTGTGAAAGAAACCCTAGCAACCATCACCCCTGTGGTGCCTGGAACCTGATGGACAGATAAACTCTCCGGCCCAGGGAGCCGTCACTCCTCAGTCGATGTGTGAACGAAGGTGCTACCTCGTAAAGTGTTCATGCATGACTGGGGTTGTATGGGTCTCATTTTGTTACATTCACCCCTCTGTCTGTGGTGCGTCTGTACAGAGAAAGGGGTGCTGCTGATTGAAGGGAAAACACTATAAGAGGAAGGACGCCGCAAAAGAATAATAAAGATTATAGTATTGCATAGTAAAAGTAGAGCTTAGTTTTATATTTCACATAGTAACACTGGGGTGTAGGAAGATGTTAAATATAAAGTTAAGAGTGGTAAATAAAAATATAAAACTTTCTCATTATGATTCGATGGATATTTTATTTTATTTTGCTAATCTTTTTGTTTTGCAATTAAACTAGATGTGGGAAGCAATACTTTAAAGTCATTTTTTCACTTAACAATGTTGGAGTTGACTGCAAGTAGTATAAACATTTTGGATTTTCTTATTTACATATCTGTCTATCAATCTAATATATTAGGGTTGAATAATATGGCCAAAATGTTTATCATATTGTATTTCCTAAATTTTGTCCATACATTATAATTTCAATGTCAATTTGAAAAAAAAGCCGCTAAGACTGCCAAGAATTTCTAAAACAGATCCCTGTACCAACTTATTACAGTTATTTTGACATGTTTGTAAAACTCCTCCCACAAAACAGTTAGGAAATATTTAAAACTAAAATATAAAACTGAAAAATGCTGTAATCACTGTGATGTAGAGTCATTTCACAGCTTTATATATTGATATTAAAATATTGTCCAGCCCTATCTTAAACACACACACATATCATATTGTTTCGATGTGTAATCTTGGATTACCGGTAATTAGCTGCTGACTAATTACTCAGCTAATATTGGCTCAGGAAACTTATTTCACTCTTCAAGCAGGAGGAGCTAAAATATGCCATATTCTGCAGAACTACCTGTTGAAAATGTGCGATAAATTTATCAAAGGTGTTATAATTGATCTTTTTCTTTTATCAAATGTTTGATTATTTGCTGTCTTTCAATTATGCTTTATACTTTAAGATGTTTTGTGTAAATATGATGATTATTTGTTTCATAATGGCCCATGCATTCTGTGGCAAAAAATTTTCTTTTTTTTTGTCTAAATATGATTCCACATTTCCAGTTCTGTAAAGTTTGACTTCTAACCATTTAACTTTATTTCTAACTTTGTATTTTTTTTTTTTTTGGTGATATTTTAATAGAGCATACATTTTAATAAGCCGTTTCACATATTGGCACAAACACTTTCCTTTTTCCATCCCTCACTTAGTGTCTTAGTGGTGACAGGTTAGGGTTTGCAGTCTTCACCCAGATCTCTGCGCTGTCCCTCTGACAGCCTGCAGTGCCGTGTTTTTTTTTGAAAAGAGTCTTTGTGATAAATAGCATTCCAGGTTCTGTGTGCGGCTCTGGAGGTAATATTGCTTTATTGGCCTATGGCCTTCTGTAAACACAATAGAGATGTATGTGTGATGCAGCAGGTGGACCAATTTGTCATCCACACCATGGCTATTATTGGTGTTTCCCTATAAATCCACCGGCGTAATAACAGATAACGGAAAAAGTAATGACCACACCACCACTTTTAGCAGATTATTCTAAATAGGAACTCAGGATTGTATAGATAATGATGATAATAAGATTTTTCTTTTTTAACCCTCGACAGTTCTCACTCAATCCATATGTCCTAGCTGACAGTTGTATCACGTTATTAGGCTTAACCAAACACAGCTGAGTGTGTGTGACTTTGTAACCTGCCATAGAGGAATCCTAGCCTGGCTTTTCCTAGCAGCTCCATGTGTGTTTATACTCTGCTTCTGACCCCACGACCCAAAGAGGTAAGATGTTCACTAAGGTGAGCTGCGGGTCACAGACACATTTAGATGTACTCTGGCATGCTGTGTGAATACGTGTGCTTGTATGAGGGGTCGGCTAAACATGTATGTGTAGTACGCGTGTTTTGATATATGAATGTCAGGGGTTAAGTTTCTTTAACTTAAGTCATGTGTGGCATCATCTATCTTTTTTTCTATATCTGGATACTTTACATCTGCTATTCTGCCGTCAGTCTTAGTTTAGGTTGATTGAATGAGGCAAAAAGATAAATAATTACCCAGACTGCAGAGTTATCAGTTCAGCAATAAATAGACAGCATGTTCCAGGTGTTGATGCAGGTATTACTTGTCAGATTTGGAAAAATTTGGAGAGGAACAGATTTTGTTTTGTGTGTGTCTCAGGCAGACTTTTATTGCAGCCTAATCTGAATTTGAGATTTCTCCTCCTTACCTTACGTTGTCCCCAAAGTGTTTTTGAGAGAAACTTTTTAACAACCATGCAAAGGTTGTCACATTTATAGTTAAACCTGCTTGATCCGGGGGTAAATATGCTAAATCCCCCTTTTTTTTTTTAAATCTTTTTGTTCACCTGTTGACATCTGCGTTCCCTTAAGTTAAGAGGCTTTATTCCTGTATCTCTGTAAAGATGTTCTCTTATCTGCCTTACTTGAATTATAAGTTTTGTAGACTTTCATCTTTAGAGGTTTGGCTAATCGCCCTTTGTGTCCCACCATAATTATAACCAACATAGCAGGTATTCATAGATTACTACTTAAAAGTTTTCTATTAATATCAACAGCTTAAGTATAGCATACATTTAAAAAAAAAAGCTTCAGTGAAGCTTATTTTACAGAACTAGTTGGCTGTGGCAAACTGTGGCTCTAAATATTTTGTTGAACTATGAGTTACGGTTTTTCCTGGAGTTCAAAGTTCGAATGCTACCGACTGCAATAACAAATAGATTCTTTTAAGGTCTTTTGCACACCTTTACCAAGTGATTCCGAGATGTGCTGCATTTATTTCTGCAAATGCAAAATAATAGAAATAAACTTTAGAATAGAAATAAACGTGGGTTGTATGCTGCCGTGAAGCAAATTATTCTAACCAAAGGTTATGGCTCAAAGGTTAAAGGTGAAATGTTTAGCAATGCAGAAACATCTTCCTCCTTAGCTTTCTTGGAACGACCTTTAGCTGTTGCTCAAAAATAGATTTTTGTACTTTTATGGAAAGCATGGAGTATTTAGATAAATATTTGGTACTGGTACTGCTCTAATTGTGTCTATTTAAATTTTTAAACTTTTATTTATAAGTCTGCAGCCATTAGTGGTTCCTATAAAACATTTTGGACTAAAATAAAAAATATAGGTTATTCAGATTTTACAGGACCTATAAACATGTTTGTCATGGCAGTTATGCTGTTTTGCAAGCCGTGTTTATTCATTTTATTTTTAAGGTAAAGACAAGAGGCTCTATAATCAAGCACATCCTGAGCCTAAACAAATATATATTTTTAAGTATAACCGTTTGTTTCTGCTTTCAGCACTGTACGCACTTGGGACGTGAACTCAGAAAAGAAGCACAAGTCGGTGTTCAAACCTCGCTCCCAGCAGGGGAAGAAGGTCGTCCCCACCTGCTGCACTTACAGCCGCGACGGGAAGCTCATTGCAGCAGGTTGCCAAGATGGCACCATCCAGATCTGGGATCGAAACATGAGCGTAAGTGTTGAAAGTCATCAAAAACACCACAACTTGTCAGAGATTGATAATCCAGTCATATGCCAAAGAGGTTAACCAAACACAAGCTATGAATAATTCAGTATAACCACCTTTAACTCTATAACTGTCAAGGACTCAGTTTAACTCTGAGTGTTCTCAACATCTTGAAACCCTCCTAAGCTGGACCTCTATGGCTCTTATTTATGACTTTACCTAAACGGTAAGATAACTGTTAATTAAAATCCAGGGAGAGTAGACTTTCTTTGTGTAGCTAGCACCACCAAGGGGTCATTTTGTCATATTAAACATAAAAGGGTTTGAACACAGCTGTCCCATCCCCCTTTGGGTACCACTATGACAACAGTGTTGGAGATACAGGTGACAGGAATCATGATTTACCAAATAAGTGAAAATCATCTTTACTGTATCTGTTTATTGATTTGGTTACAGATGGTAAACAGAATAGTATCTATGCTTGAAAAATCTGCAGTACTATGCGTTACGCACAACTCTGGATGTATAAAAACAAGCGTTCAGGGAAAGTGTGCATTTCACCTGCAGAAAGAGTTTGGTGCAGTTGAGCTAACTTTTTCAGTCAAGCTTATTTGCAAGCTTCAAAGTACTTAAAGTAATCCAATAAAATGAGATTTTGCTTTGCTTTGTTTCCCATAGGTTTTAATTTTTTTAGTATTTAAACCTGAACGATAAAACTGAATTGCATATAGCCTCATACAGCACCATTGCACAGCTACAGAAATGATGGAAACATCCTCATTCGGATGCTAGCTGTTAATCCACTTTAATTCTAACAGAAAAGAGGTGGTGAATCAGCAGATTACGTTCAAACAAGTCAGATGTGAGGATTAACCAGGGTAGCAAGGTGCAGACCGATGGTGGCAAGTATAACATCAAAATAGACTTATACCAGAAACCATTCAAATGTATACTAAGTTATCACACCAGTATATTTACATAAATGCCAAAAAAACAAAAAATAAAAAAAAAAGATAAAATTTTCTGAAAAGTGCTTTAAATCAGTCCTACCTGTCTTAATCCATGCTGGGTCAGTTGCTGGCTTTTGGAAAAGGAGGCAGGAAAAGCAGAATAAAGCGTTAGCCCCGCTGCATACAGTTAGCCAAGCCTTTTTCCTCATTAATTATATAAACTTGCCAATCAGCTGCAGTTTATAACAGACGACTGTGACGTCAGAGCTGTGATGGTAGGCAGTGTGTAAATAAAGTTGCTTTCAGCTATGAGCTCAGGAGAGCTGCGCCCCAGGATATTCCTATCTTTAGCATTAAAGAGGAGCTACGGTGCATGTACAACTTTTAGCAAGAGTCTATAGGCAAAGATTATTGCGCCCCAGGGCGGAAATACGTCACCAAACTGATGAACAGCTTCACTTGTCATTAAAGATCATATATTTATCTTGCACATCAAAAAAAAAAAATTCTATATATTTCGAAATAATTAAATTTTATTGCTTAATTTTTTTATGTTTTGATCAAGTTCATTTGGAGATTGGGGCAGCGCCCTTGCGCCCTCCATTGGCCAGTCGCCACTGGTGCAGACAATGGTGGCAATAAATAGCTGAGTAAAGGCTTGAGTAATTGTGCAAGGATGGCAGGCTTGGCTCTTTTGGAAGACTTCACCACGTCTACTCAGATCCTGCTGACCTGCTGGTAGATGATGATGGATGGGACATTATGTTGTTTAGATAGTCATAGAGCGGCACAAAGGAACCAAGTGGGTTCTTTAGGAAGTTGCTAATGTCATTCAATGAGTTTTTTATTTGCTATAAACAATGTCTCTAAGGTGTCCTTACAACGCTCACTGTTATAGCTTGATGGCACCATTGTCATGGTTATTTTGACTTTTGGTGGGTGCTGTCTGGTGTTTATAGTGGAGCAAAAACCTGAGTCTGGGAAAATTTCTATCAATTTGCGGCAACACAATTATGCATTGCTTTATACGTCTCACTTTTTCTCAAAAAAGCACAGGAAATCTTCATTAATGCATTGCCTCCAAAGGGAAAGGTGACTACAGTTTCCATCTAGGACATCAGTTGTTGAACAAACTTTGCATAATCCTGAACATCTAGAATTGAAGTGCAGAACTGAGTGACAAATTCGTTGTAGGCATTGTGGTGACGATGCAGAAAACCTATGGTCCGGTCACTACCCAGACCGAAGTGGCACTGAAGTGCTGCAAATTCATGTAGCGCTGAATTTTTTGTGTAATCTGGAGATGTTAAATAAGGCACTCTAAGGAACACGTATTGCAGTTTAAAATCAGCAACTTTTTTTTCTAGGCAAGTTTTAAATGAGAATTCTGTTTCCCAGCAAAATTCCTATTCTTTCTAACATCTGTAGGATGTGTTATACTATTAGTATGACTTAAAATAGCCCATGACGTAAACGTAACAACTGCCTTTTCATGGCCGACTTGGGTTGCGTAAAAACTGCTGGGAGGCCTGATTACAGTTTCCATCAGCACATTTTCCACAATTAGTTAATTAGACAATTATCTGATCAAAGCGTGCATTACTTTTCTTCACGATTATCATTGTTTAGGTATGAGTTGATTTTGGCTTTGAGGAAGCTTAACCGTCATTTGTCTTGCAGGCTTTACTTTTAGTTAATTTCTTAGATCTTCACAGGGGATAAAAGGAATTCTATTTCAGGCTTGAGAATGCACCACCTCCACGTTTCACCAATATGGCTATATATAAGCCTGTGGGTTAATGCTTGGTCAGCTAAGGAATACTTCAAGCTGCTGTTTCCTGTGAGAGTTTTCTTCGTGTTTTGAGTCATTGTATTTAAATAATTTAATAAGAGAAAATTGTATTTTCTCTTGGAAAGATTAAGTTGATATGCTCACAATTTGTTAATGCTTC